ACAGGATTCCTAATGGATTCAATATGGGGTGTGAGAGAAATAGAGAAGTCAAGAATGACTTGGGCAACAGGAAGTTGCTACGTAGTGGGGAAGGCCGTGGGTAGAGGAGCTTTTTCAGGGAAAGTCAGAAGCTCAGTTTGGAGCATGTTGAGCTTGAGACGTGCTGTTAGATATCCAAGTGGAGATGTGGAATAAGCAGTTGGATGTGTTAATGTGGAGTTCCAGAAGGAGCTCTGGGCTGGAGAGATAAATTTAGGAGGTTTTATCATACTGATGGATGAGATCACCAAGGGAGTGAGTGTAGATAGAGAAGAGGAACAAAGACTGAGCCCTGGAGTCCTCTAACATTAAGTGGTCAGGAAAATGAGGAAATGGTGAAGGAGACTGAGAAGGAGCAGCTAGTGAGGCAGGAAAAAAAATACCCAAGGGAACATGGTGATCTGGAAGCCATGTGCAGAAGCATATCCAGAAGGAGTGATCAGCTGTATCATGTGCTGCTGATAGGTCAAGAAAGACAAGGATGGAGGATTTACCATTGGATTTAGCAACAAGGAGGTCACTGATGACAAGGATAAGAGCAGTTTCTGTGGAGTCATAGGGCTAAAATTCTGATTGAAGTGGGTTATAAGGGCAAGGGGGAAGAGGAATTGAAGACAGCAAATAAAGACAACTATTTTAAACAGTTTTGCTGTTAAAGGGAGGAAAGAAATGTAGCAGTAGCTGGTGAAGGAGTAGGGTTAAGAGAAATTTCTTTTCTTTCTTTTTTTTTTAAGATGGGAAAATTAATAGCATGTTTGTATGCTAATGGAAATGATCCAGTAGAGATCAATAAATAATTATACAGAGAAAGAGGGGGGAGAATTGTTGGAGCAATGTCCTTGAGTTGAGGACAGGTGATGGAATCTAGCGTCTAAGTAGAGAGATTGCTTTAGTCTAAGAGTATGGATTATTCTTCTATGATAATTGGCAGGATAATTGGTATGAAAGTGAAGATAGTGGAAGGGTGGTAAATGTGTTAGTGGAAATCTGTGGAAGTTCTCAAGATCTCCAAGGAGGGAAAAAAAGAACACAAAACAAAGCATTAGGAATCAGAATGGTTTTGGATTTCTCAATGGTAACACTAGAATCTAGCAGACAAGGGGTCAAAGCCTTTAAAAACCTAAGAGAAGATAATTTGCATCTAAGAATTCTATATCCAGCCAAACTATCACTAAGGAGTACAGACTAAATGCATTTTCAAACATACATGTGTGCTGGATACCTTCTGTTTGCCCCTCCATATCCACTCTCCACTCTTCTGTCTCCATCTTTGTGCTCAGTGAGGTAGACCTGAATGGACTGCTTCACTTGAGTTCTCTTGCCCTCTGGCTTCTGGTTGGGTTTGGCCAACATGAGACACTGGCAGGACACCAGGGAGCAGAAAGAGAGAGGTCAGTGCTGTGTTCCTTTACTGAAAGCTACAGATCTTGATGAGCAACCCTTTCCTATAGCTGCATTCTAGTAAACACTCCTTCCTCTTTCCCCATCAGGCCTAAATCTTCATGCTGTTGCTAGCCCCATCTCCTAATATTGTTCACACCTTTGTAAATAGTTCCTTCGTTAAGCTTTTATCTAGCACCCCCAAAAGAATGCCATTTTTTTTCCTGGCTGGACCTTGACTGGATACACAGGTCTCCAAAAATGTATTCATACATCTTTTCTCATAAAACTATTGGAGGAAGTTCTCCACTAAAATAAGAAGAAAGAAGACAACACAGGAATGAGGCAAAGGGAATCCCCAGAAAAATGGCCATAGGAGATCCCAGGATGACAGCTTTGTATTAGGTATACAGAACAACGAATTCAAACTGAAGCAGGCTTGGGGCCGGCCCCATGGCTTAGGGGTTAAGTGCGCGTGCTCCGCTACTGGCGGCCCAGGTTCGGATCCCAGGCGCGCACTGACACACCACTTGTCCAGCCATGCTGAGGCGGCATCCCACATACAGCAACTAAGAAGGATGTGCAACTATGTCATACAACTATCTACTGGGGCTTTGGGGAGAAAAAGGGGGAAAAAAAGGAGGAGGATTGGCAATAGATGTTTGCTCAGGGCTGATCTTCCTCAGCAAAAAGAGGAGGACTGGCATGGATGTTAGCTCAGGGCTGATCTTCCTCACAAAAAGGAAAAAAAAAACAAATTAGAGCAGGCTAGAAAATTCTTAAAGATGTCTTCAAGAAGATGAAATTGTTAGAGTACCTAATGAAGAGTTTCACACAACTGGGACAAGAATTTGAGACCAAATTAGAGTAAAGGGCATAGAAATCTAAGCAAATGAAAACCAAGACAGTTGTTAATTTTAGATGTAACAACAAGTTGGGCAAGAAAGAAAGGTACGCATAGTACAAGAAATAGCTCAATTGTAAGCAGCATTTATGCAACAAAAATTCCAGGGGACTGCTGAATTCTTTCCTTTTATAGACTTCCTTATGATACATAGTTCTCTATTTTTGTTATGTACAGATTTCCATAGGTGGTATTTACCATAACAGCATCTAAGGTTGCCAGGGCATTTATTCTAACGTGATTTGACCCATGATTTGAGAGAATGGAAAGTCAAAATCTCAGTTCGTTACCTGTGTGACCTGGGGTAAGTAACTCAATTTCACTGATCCCTTACAAAGTATGAGGATTGCAAATCACAACACGTAGATTGCCTGGCACATAGTCGGCACTCATAAATGACCACTGTTGTCAGCGTTCTTAATGGAACAATGCTGGATAGGGATATTTTAAAACCACAAGGAATACAACTTTGACCTCAATATAAGTGGGCAGTTGGGTAGCTAGAAGTCATGGGGCATTAAAAGCCTGACACTATTATAAAGTTAATACTTCCCAGACTAAGTAAGTATGATACGGAACTGACAAATCTGTATGTAAACAAAATTGAAGAAAAAAATGCTCTGAAGATAAAAGATGACCGAGGGAATAAGGTACAGAGAGTGAATCAATTCTTAGAGGGGCCAAGTGCAAGATACAGCTGTCCTTTACAGCAGTGACTTAAAGACCCAGTTTTTCCTGGGAGTCCCCATCCTGCTTGTCACCATACAAAGTGTGGGATCCTAAGACAGTGTTCTGGTTCCTTTCCTAACCACATAAGTGAAAAAATGAAAAGATTTAGCTGCAGGAGTTCATTAGGCCTATCAATTTCAGGGGTTGGTCAAATACTAATAGTTTGAAAGGTGAAGGAAAACATCAGTCAATAATAAACACGTATCGAACACTTAAGATTTGTCAGTTACTGTTCTAAGCCATTTTACGTGAATCATCCCATATAATCTTCATAAAAATTCTAAGTCCTTTTATCCCCATTTTATAGATAAGGAAACTGAGACTCAGAAAGGTTAAGAAAATACCCTAAGGTTACATAGCCAGTAAACTGAAGGAGTTGGAGCTAAACTCAGATTTGCCAGCCTCCAAAGCCTTCTAACTGCAATGTTAATCTACCGGGCCGGCCCCGTGGCTTAGCGGTTAGGTGTGCGCGCTCCTCTGCTGGCGGCCCAGGTTCGGATCCCGGGCGCGCACCGACACACCGCTTCTCCGGCCGTGCTGAAGCCGCGTCCCACATAGAGCAACTAGAAGGATGTGCAGCTATGACATATAATTCTCTACTGGGGCTTTGGGGCAAAAATAAATAAATAAAATTAAAAAAAAATTAATCTACAGCAAAAATAGTCTTTAGCTATGGATTTTCTCATTAGCCTAAGAGCATTGATCAGGTCATATATTAGCAAGTGATCTTCAAATATGAAATGATAGCAATAACGAAGCCAGCCCTGGTGGTCTAGTGGTTAAGATCTGGCACTCTCCCTGCCATGGCCTGTTCATTTCCCAGTCAGGGAACCATACCACTGGTCTGTTGGTTGTGATACTCTGGTGGCTCGCTTTGTCGCTGTGATGCTGAAAGCTATGCCACCAGTACTTTAAATACCAGCAGGGTCACCCATGGTGGACAGGTTTTAGCAGAGCTTCCAGACTAAGACAGACTAGGAAGAAGGACCTGGCCACCCACTCCATGGCCATGAAAACCCTAAGAATAGCAGCAGACTGTTGTCTGATATAGTACTCAAAGATGAGAGGATGGTGCAAAAGACTGGGCTCAGTTCCACTCTGCTGTACACAGGGTCGCTAGGAGTTGGAATAGACTCCACAGGCACTAACAACAAAGTGATAACTACAAAGGCCAGTCTATTTTAAGCAACTGCTCTTACAAGGTGTAGGAGGATAGAACCTTATAAACCATCAATTTTTTCTGGATGTGGCGCTTAGGCATTCAAATATATTTCACCAGTAACGTTCTGATAGAAAAAGGAGCGATTTTAGGGCTAATTGAGGTTCTTTCTTTTCCATCTGTGTATTCCCAGTGTCAATTGTGCCTGTCATAGTTAAGTGTTGAATAAGCCTTTGTTGACTGGATGGATGGAGGGATGATTCACCTAGTGAGTCTTTCCAAATTTCACGGAGTATCTCATACAAACCATCCAGACCCTTAAAACAAGCCCCGTCAACATCTGTCAAGCAGCTGCTTAGGGGCTGGGGGAACCTGCTTCAGATGTGGGACCAAGGTTCAAGGAACACGTCGCCACCTGAGAATGCAAACAAGCCCAGAAATCCGGGACCACAGTAACACTCCACACCCGGGCTGCACAACAGCCTCTCTTGCAGCAGGGCGGCCCATTTCCATCTCGGCGCGGATAAAGCGTCGGTGTAGGCGGGGGACTGGCGCTCAGCCTGAATGGTGGGTGGGACGGCAATGACAGTGCAGGAATTCCACTCCGGCTGCGGGGTTTGGGGACCTGACTGAAAAGTGGGAGGGAGCACTATTCACCTGACACACCCCAACCTGCCCTGCTGCAGCACAGGGCCGCGCGTTGGGCGAAGGGAAGCCCTTCAACCAGTTGAGCTCAGGCAAACTGGCGCTGCAGCAGAGCAGCCTGCGCACGCGCATCCCCTCCGCGCCCGCCAGCCAGAACGCACGCGCACTCCGTCCTCGCTCGCTCAGTCAGTCACTGCAGGGCCCGGGGCGTCACACCCGCAGGCCCCGCCCCGCTCCCGTGCGCCGAACGCTGCATATCCGGGTTCCCGCCGCCTCGCCGCCGCTGCCTCGCTCATTCACTCTTGCCGGGAGTGGTGTGATTCCCGACCAAAATGGCGGCTGTGGGGAGAGTCGGTTCCTTCGGTTCCTCTCCACCGGGATTAGCCTCGACTTACACGGGCGGTCCCTTGGCCAACGAGCTAACGTCGGGCAGCGGCGGCGCCGCAGCAGGCGACGACGAGGACGGGCAGAACCTTTGGTAACGACCCCACCCCTCCCTGAGTCCCCGCGGGCACTCCCGGCCCTGCGGACGCCTCGGGATCCCGTGCCCGCCGGAGCTCGGCGCCGGGCCCAGGCCACTGCGCTCTCGGTAGCCCCCGCCCAGGCGCGTCGAGGCCGGGGCCGGCCCTCCCGCGCTGCGGCCCCGGCCCCCGGCCTCAGCGTGCGCCTTGCTCCCCGTTAGGTCCTGCATCCTCAGCGAGGTCTCCACCCGCTCGCGCTCCAAGCTCCCCGCGGGGAAGAACGTACTGCTGCTGGGTAAGTGTCCCCCGCCTCGCTCCGCCCCGCCCGGCCCCCACGCCGCCGGGGTGCGGATCTGCCCCGCCCGCCCGCTCGCTTTGTGCGGACCGCGGGTCCCGCCCCGCCCCGCCCCGCTGCCCGGCTTGTCGCTGACAGCTGGGGAGGAAGGGGAACGGGGACCCCTGCCCCAGGACCTGCAGGGACCCGCCCCCCTCCCCCCGAGCCCTGTCTCCTCCCCTGCATGTGGGGGTGGCCCTGACAGCCTTGCCTGGGAAGGACGGAATGCAATAGCCCATCAGAGGGATTCTTGTGTCTTGGGGTTTACCTAGAAAATAAGGACAGTTTTTCTTGCATGACAAAAATTGGAATCAGGAGGCTCTTTGCAAGAGCTCCAGTGCAAATGGCATGCCATTAATATTTAATAGCTGACTCTTTGTATAATTGACAGAGAAGCTAGAAATGAGACCTGGTAGTCGTGATGAATATTCTTATTTGATTCAGCTTTTTCGGGTACAATGGGCTCATGTTGCAGCTGCTTTTTTAACTGTCACTTATAATCCTGAAATTTGTGAAGGGCAATAACACTTTCTAGTTAGTCCCTTCGGCCAAATGGATGTAGTAAGGAGAAATAGTCTGTCGTCTCAATTTTCCTGATTGTTCTGTATCCCCTCTGCTCTCTGGAAGTTATGTATTTTGTTTCTTTGCTGATTCTGGGAGTGGGCCTAGAGGATAGTGAGGGAAAACAACTCACAGGTTCACAGTTTTGCAGGCTTAACTCCTGCGTCATCTACAGGAGAGATTTCTTCCATATTCTTTAAATGTGAGAGATTGAAGTTTGACTTAGAAGAGGATGGGTAAATTTTAAAACTTTGATATTGGTGTCTCAAGACTATTTTTGTTATGTACATCTAAAAACAGGAAAGGAAACAAAGAAGTCAAATGCTACTTGACAGAGTCCGCTTTTAATAGGAGTGTTTAGATAGAAATAGGTTACTTGTTTTTTATGAACTGCTGCCAATCTAGACTATATGATTCTTGAGGTTCTTTGAAGTTACATAGAACTAGTTGAAAAATTAGTTTTTACCTTTGTTTTTAATGTGATTCAAAGTACCTACTGCAGATTAACCTGGGTTCAGTTACAGCCCTATCACATACTAGCCCTGTGATCTTAAGTGAGTTTCTTGACGTCTGTAAACCTCAACTTCTTCATCTTTAAAATGGATATTATAGAAATAATAATATCTACCTCTTAGGGTTATGGGGAGGACTGAATGAGATAATGTTTGTAAAGTGATAATAGCACAGTGACTTTCTGTGATGGATTTCTTTTAACTGGATTAGAAAATAGTTTTTTTATGAGAACTCTTTAAAAATTGAAATAGTGCCTACATAAGTGATATTTATAGGGCAGAGATAAGCAAAAAAATTTCAGAAGATGTTTTAAATTTACTAATTTAAACAAATTACTATTAATTACTAAACTAAAATAAACTTAAGACAGTGTGACCTCGTGGAAGTGGATTATATTTTAATTAATCTAAGTTAAATAAGACTTGTTTTCAAATACTGCCATTGTAAAGATAAGATTCCAGAATTTTGTTTTCATTTTATAAGTTCCTCCTAGTTATTCCTGTGCATTAGATATCACTTAGATGGTTCTGTTTGCAGTGAAGCAAAAGTGACAGTTTTGTTCATTTTTTGTTCCTAATTTGCACTGAGGTTGCTCTGTGCTTTTTTTTAACCCTTTTTTTTTTTTACCTTCCCGTGACACTGGATCAGTGCGTGCAGCTGAGTATACTTGGAGACCTCAGGCTTTTCCACCCCTCCATACTTAGAATAGGTTGAATTTCTTTTTTTATGAGCTTAGTAGTTCATAAAGCTTCATCTAGTATCAAACCATATGAGCTTGAAGTTTAAAATTTTTCTTTGAGTACTGTTAGGATTTTCATCAAAGTTCTTTTCAGCTATAGAAGAATCTAATAACATTTTTATACTGATTACATAAATAGGATTAATTTTCAAAAATACCTCTAAAGATTTCTTAAAGATATTTTATCATCACACATTATGACAGCATTCAATCTATGCTAGTGGAGGGAAGAAACATAAATAGGGATTGTGGTTTTCTTTATTATGAGTTTGAAGGTGCTAGACAGGAAGATGCTTGGCCCTAATGTGTCATTCATGAATTATGGTGATCTCTGGAGTCCCATATTTAAAAAACCAAGTCTGAGAATATAACAAGGTTTTACATTTCTGCAAACAACCTAGAATAGGAACAATGATCAAGACTTGTGTACCCTGGACACAAATTGCAGTTTAACCTTAGCTTGCTACGTGGCCTCCTCTCCCGCTGTCTGTGGGAGAAAAGGATAGGGCATGTGTATGAGCCGTTCTCAAAGCATTTTCATATAAATCTTTGTTTACCTCGCCTGCCCCTCCTCAAATCTGGGATGTAGATGTTAGCACCACTTTATAGATGAGGTAATAAATTTTTGAGACCTGTTAAGTGAGTTTTCTAAAGTCACACAGTTCTACGGGGCCCCATGTTTTGTAATTCTGGGTGGGTTTCCAACTTCATAGAAGTCTCGCAAGGGCGAGTGCCATATACTCTGCATAACTTTTTAAGAAGGATGTCTTTGAGTGAAAGTACTAGTAATTATTTTAAAGTAAAATCCAAATTGTTGGATTCTAGGATGTTGCTTATTGAGGGACACCGCTCTGGTCATGGCATTTATGTTTAAGCAGTCATTTAATCTACCGAGGCCTGACCCTTAGGGAAACCCAGAAACACTGGGACATTAGTGTTTAACCATTCTCTTTCTTCAAAGATTTTGAGAATGAGCTTCAGTAAAGTTTGTTTTTAATATTAAAGGCAAAACTCCTTGTGTATGTATTTTAAATACGATTTAACTTATAAATTGTCTTTTTAAGAACTATTTTTTCCTCTTTACCCTTTGTATTTAATCAATTTTTACTACAGTGATTGTAGTATATTTTAATAACTGCTTTTAAGAGCACTTTCTCCATATCTTGGTTACTTTCCCACGTTTGGATAAGAAAACTCCCTAAGGAAAAGAACAATAATAACACCTAACATTATAAAGCACTTACATGTACCAGCCATGTAAGGATTGTTTGCATACTCTGATGATCCCCTTACAGATCAGGAAACAGATACAGAGTTGTTAAGTAAATTGCCTAGGGTTACAGAACCAGAAAGAGACAACGTCCGGATTCTAAATTGTACAGCCTGGCTCCAGAGCCAGTATTCTTCACCTACACACCTGACTGTCTCCCTAAAGGAAAAGAGAGCTTTCTTTGTACGAAAAGTAAGATGTTTAGCAGTTATTAAGGAATTTTATATGATTCTCCTGATGTATCTGTTTCATTGCAAAAAAATGTCATTGATTTAGATTAATTGAATTCATTGTCTACTAAGATATATTTGTACTCCTGGCCCCCAGCATAGTGTCTGGCTTATAGATGGGACATCAGTATAATTTTCTGAGTTGAGGCCAACATAAATTAATGAAAACTAGTTGTCTCTTTGGCAAATCATGTAAGCCTCATCTTTCTCTGTAAATTGAGATATTGGGATTTAGTCATCTCGGAAGCCTTGTCTGATTTGACATTCTGTAATTTTTTTTTAATTCTAAAGGTTGTGAATTATTATATATTTTTATGAAATGTTTTGAAGACATTGCATCGGGTTTAAATTAATAAAGTATTTCCTTGTAGATGTGGGCTGTTTGATTCCACCTGGGGAAGAAATCTAGAGTCTGTATTTTTCCCTGAAGGCCCTAGTCCGGGGTAGTGTGCAGCCAAAAAAGTCCCACAGAATGCTGAGCATCATCAGGAAGTATGTTTGAAATAGTCTCCTTTCTTATTCAGGAACAAACTAGTTTCTATTATGCTTGAATTATTGCAAGTAGGAAACCTCAAGATACACAGTGGAACTAGAGATCTGTTCAGAGAAGTAACTTGTCAAGGAAGTGGATGGTTTTCTGTGTGAGAGCTGACTCTAAAAATAATGAGATTGTTCAGTCTGAAACTATTAATCTTGTGAGAAGCTGGGATTAAAGATCAGCCAGGTGTCATGACTTGTGGGAAACAAAGATTTTTATCAGTTGAAGTATGTTAATGCTGTTTCTGGCGTGATTGGTTATGGGAATGTAACGCAAGGAATAGAATGTTACCACATATATAATGTTGGATTGGTGATTTTCAAAGGATTGACATAAAATTATTTATTGCATGTTATGTGTTACTGTGACTAAAAATATACCAAATATAAAATGTTTTGAGAGTCCAATGGCATATTGGTATTTTATAATCATCAAGGTCAGCAATTTATTATATAAAGGACCAGATAGCTCTGTGAGCTCTGTGGTCTCTGTTGTAACTACTCAACTCTGCACTTGCAGCCCCAAAACAGCCATAGCCAGTACATGAATGAATAGGTGTGACCGACAGTGTTTAATAAAACTTTATTTACAAAAACAGACAGCAGACGAGATTTGGCCAGTGGGCTGAAGTTTGTGGATCCTCTCCTTTAGGTTATTATGGACATCAGTTTTATCAGTAAGCATAGATGCCAGTTAATAGAAGTTTCTGGTTAATGGAATGTGATGTTTGGCACATAATAGGTGCTCAGTAAATAAATGTTGGATGAATGATGACCAGCTTAAAAGTATGGTCAAAGTATCATTGTTATTCCAGGTCAAAATATAGTCTGAACATAGGTTTAAAGTGTTAAGAGGAGTTTATATATTTACCCCAATGTTTTTCTGTCAAAAACAAAAAAGAGCTGGAAGAACCACAGATGTAGGCCAGTAGAGTGGTGATTTAGCTGGTGTGAAGTCCATGTGAGAGAGAATGTCAGCAAAAGCACTTTGAAAATGCACAACAAAGAGGAGCCTTGAATTAGGAAAAAGAAAGGACCCAAGTCCAGCACGAGACTCTGTTACTAATAAGCGAGTGACCGTGGACTAACGTTTTTGGGCTTTACTTTCCTT